TGTCTCTCCGGCCCTGCGCGTGGAACAGGTAGCACTTCTGAGAAGGCTACCTTGGAGGTCCTGGACCTAAGTTTCCTGCCCAGCAGCCTAAATTTCTCTTCCAGGACCTCACGACTGCATTTCCCCACATCATTGGTGCCAACATGCACCACGACCACTGGCTCCTCCCCAGCACTATCTACCAGCCTATCTAAAACATGCGTAATGTCTGCTACCTTCGCACCAGGCAGGCAAGTCACCATACGGTCAGTTCACCACCCAGCTGTCTACCTGCCTAAGAATCGAATCACCAACTACCAAGAGCCCCCCTCCCACCCTGCCCAGGGATGGTTCCTTGGTGCAAAAGGATACCCGCTCACCAGCTGGGGAAGAGGTCCCTTCTGAGGGCACATTCCCCTTATCCTCAGCACGGTGCCCTGTTTCCCCTAGACCCTCATGCTCCCTGACAGCAGCAGGGCTGCCAGATCCAGAGTGGGACATAGCTAACAAGTCCCCGAGAGTCTTTTCTGTGCACCTAACTGACTGTCTCTGCTTCTCCAGGTCAGCCACCTTGGCCTCAAGAGAGCACACACATTCCCTGAGAACCAGGAGCTCCTTGCACCGAGCACACACCCAAGACTTCTGTCCAGTGGGCAGATAGTCATACATGTGACACTCTGTGAAAAACACTGGACAGCCCCTAACCCCCTGCTGGCATTCTGGCTTCATAATTCTTTTAAAATATGTAAATATAATCCCCCTTTTAAAACCCTTTGTATTTATGTGGTTTTTCTTGTTGAAGTCAAATTACTTTACGGGGAAGATGAAGAGCCTAGGGCCTTCGCTTTCTGGCTCTTCTTTGGCGTCTCACAGAATCCCTAGTCCAAGAGTCCTTAGGCTAAGAGCCACAGGCAAAGAGCCCTTTAGTTCACCCTTCGGCTCGTGCCTCTGGCAAGGTGGTTTCTTAAATACTAAAGTACAGTCAGTCACAGTCAAACAATGCCCCTTCCTCTCCCTCTCTCAAGCAGCCAGGACTCTGCAACAACTCTAAGCATTTTCACACACTCCCAGACCAGTCCCAGACCAGTTCTCCCACACAATATCCTCAGCTGAATCCCCTCAGCTGAAAGCAAGTCAAAAAAACACTCACCCTTTAGCACCTCTGTCTCCTGCTCCTGCTCAGAGCTCAGCTGGGGTAATGGGATAGCCCGTTATAAAGATTGAGCCACAGTATTGCGATGGATCGGCACCGCTGAATCGGGTTCTTGGGTAACACCTTCATGTCACCATCTTGATTCGATTGAATGATCAACATCATTGAGCACTTTATTTTGCTAAACATGGTTATTTTTATTTTGTTTTTAATGTTTTATATTTGGCACATGGTGCCCTTGATTGTGAGTCACCCTGAGCCCGTCCACAGGGAGGACGGGATAGAAATTTAATAATAAATAAATAAATAATGGAACATAAGAATCTGCTGGAACTACTTCTAGCAAATAAAGCTGAACAAAAGCTAGACTGGTTCACAGGAGAGTGTTATGCCTGGAATAAAACTAGTTAGGCTGCCTGCAATGTATTTAATATGAGGTTAGCAGAATAGAACATGAACCAGGACTGAGATGCCAAAAAAATATGACGAACTGAGGAAACTGCAGAGGTGTAGCTTGGAAGGTCCTTGAACAATTAAGGTACTCAAGTAATGCTGCACTATCCTGGAAAAGATTTGGATTAGGTGAAAAGAAGATGAACAGAAAGGATCTATAGTCCTATATATTGTAGGACCAGGAGCAGTTGCCAAGCTGAGAGGACCAGTTATGATATAGTTAGTGGGTAGTTTGAAGAGCTGTGTTTGCATTCATTTAAATGAAACAGCTAAGAGAAGGTTCATAAGAGGCCTTAGGAGGAAAATGAGTTCCTGGGGAGGAAATTAACACGCCTGGATCTGATGGGCGCGAACTGCAGCAACAGGCAGTTAACAAATTCCTCATAAGATATCAGCATGTGATTGACATTCAAGAATTTTAAAAATACTTTTGGAAGATCTCCTTGAGGAAATGAAAGCTACATGGAGAATCATTGCAATGTAGATACAGTCCAACTTACTAAAAAACAATGCACCATGGACATAAGAAGCAAATTTGAGAAAGGACTTCAAAACAATAAATCAGAGTCATTCCTGTACCAAAATACTTTGAGAATCACAGAGACAAAATTGTCTAGTGATGCCTCAGAAGGGAGAGTTGAAGGAATGCTGTTGTACAATACAATGAACCCTAGAGAACAGCAGCATATGTTTCCAAAAGAGCAATCGTAAACAGAGCTACATCCATCTAAACTCACTGATTTCAGTGGGCTTAGAAGAGTTAACACTGTTTAGGATTGCACCATGAAGCTCTTGTATGGAGTTCTAATATGCACAGACACAACAGGAAGCTCTATCCGTGGCATCTGGCTATAAAAAGTTTTTCATCTATGGTTGGCTCAGTGGTAGAACATCTGCTTGGCATGCAGAATAGGGATGGGCACAATCCAGAAAAATGCAGTTTGTGATAGTTTTATGGTTCATGGCCAAACCATGAACTGAATGAATAGGGAGGGTTATTTGCAAACCGAACTGGTTTGCGGTTTATGGCCCTACAATCTCCATTGAAAGGGACAGTCCCTTTCAATGGGGTTTGCAGAAAGCCAGGAAAACCCAGCTGAGCAGTGAAGAGGTGCTCGCCGCCACTCAGCTGTTTTGCTTTCTTGTTGGCATGCAGAATAGAGAGGGGCACAATTCAGAAAAATGCTGTTCATGTAGGTTTCACTTTCTCAGCCATTTCTCTGTTCCACTTTCTCAGCTGTTTCGCTCTCAGCTGTTTCCCTTTCTTGTGTAGTCCCTTTAAAGGACTGCACAAGAAAGCCCAAAAACAGCTGAGCAGTGGGGAGGTGCTCCCTGCCACTCCGCTGTTTTTGCAGCTTTTGCAGGGGACAGAAAGCAGGGGGTTAAAGGGACTTGGAATCCCTTTAAACCTCTGCTTTCAGCTCTATCCATGAACCGCCACAAGCTGCTTTAAAAGTTCATGGAAGTTCGTGATGGTAGACCCCAAACTTTGGTTTGCGAACCACAAACAGGGTAAAATTTCCGACAACTTTGGCTTCATGGTTCAGTTTGTTTCCATCCCTAATGCAGAATGTCCCTGCAATCCCTGGCATCTCAAGTAAAAAGTACCAGGTAGTAGTTGATTTAAAAGACGTCTTCCTGAGACCCTGGATAGGCAGTTTCATGTGTTCATATGTTGGTCAGTTGCTGCTGAAACTCACAGAAAATCTCTGGTATCTGTTGCTAAGTCAGGGCTGGCAAACATCCCTCCCATAGACTCTTTTTCCCCCAGCCTAAGATATATTGCAAATAAGCGAGGAAAAGACACATTATCCCAAGAATGCAACAATACCGTCAGAGAAAATGGTGAGGAATTTGACATTAACCATGTCAATTTAATTTTAAAAAATTGCCCAGTGTCTGAAAAAAAATGCGTCAGGAATTTGCAGATCCCACAACAGATGATATCACATTATGCTGAAGTAAGTTATCAGAGGTATCACACAGGCTAGTGATAACTACATTCCTATCCCATGTTTTTTTAATTTAAAGCAAAATTATCTGCACTTGGTATGGCACTGTTCAGAGGCCATAGACCAATAATGCTGGAATGCATTTGAAAAAGGATGTTTTAAAGAATACCTAAAGGTCATATGGCATTTATAAAATGTGAAAGGAGAGCCAGAGATGTTGTATGTTGACCTCCAATGACTCTGCACGTTGAATGGATGGTTTTTTAAAAAGCAGCATATGCAAAACAAACAACAAACTAAGCAACAGAAAGAGCACATTTGGGCAAATGATGAAAAGTGTAACCAGAATAAACACATGAAGCTGCCTTATACTGAATTAGACCATTAGCCTATTAAGGCAGAGGTTCTCCAGGGTCTCAGGGACAGGTGTTTCACATCATCTACTATCCAATCCATTTAACTGGATATGGTGACCCTGAGGCTCTCAGCATGCAAACCAGGTGCTCTACCACTGAGCCACAACTCCTCCCCCCAAATTATTCTGATTTTAGATT